AAAAAAAAAAAAAAAGAAAAAGAAAAAATTGCAATCTATTCACTCAATCATTTTTTTAAAAAGCTGGCTGGGCACAGTGGGTCACCTGTAATCCTAGCACTCTGGGAGGCCAAAGCAGGAGAAGACTGAGACCAGCCTGAGCAAAAACAAGACTCTTTCTCTACAAAAAATAGGAAAATTAGCCAGGTGTGGTGGCAGGTGCCTGTAGTCCCAGCTACTTGGGAGGCTGAGGCAGAAGGATGACTTGAGGCCAGGAGCTGGAGAAATTTATTGGCTTATTATTATGGGGGCAAGAAGTCCAACGTGGAGGGGCCAGCATCTGACCAGAGGGCCTTCTTGCTGCATCATATCAGGGCAAGAGAGAGGAGAGGGGAGCCATCTCGTCCTTTTAAAAGAAACTCACTCCCAAGATAATGGCATTTATCTGTCATAGCAGAACAGAATTGACCAAGACATTCCTGGTACCTTGTTGTTATGGTTTCTTTTTTGCTATCACCTTCTTCTTTTGTTGTTTTTGAAATTGACTTTACTTGTCATATGAATTTACAAATAGTTATAACTGTACGTAGTCCAGACATATGAAGTATTTGCTTACCACTCCAAGCATCTATCTGTGACCAGTGTAAACAGCAAGACCTCTGCAACATAACACTGTCCAAAGCCCTGTAGAATGGACTTTATGGACTCATTTGAAGAAGGTGGATGTACATAGATGTCAGGCAGGCACTGACAGAAGAGGTAAGTTATATACATAGAAAGGGGACTACAAAGACCAGGTGACATGCATTAAAATCAAACAAAGCATTCTGATCAGAGGTGGTTTAGTGAGATCTAAAATGGCAGTTAAATTTTCTCTGGTATTAAGATTGGAAAATGAAGAAATGGGACAAAACTGGCCTTGTGAAGCTCCTGGAGGACATGTGATCCTTGGGTTGTTTTTCTGTTGTGTCCCTTAAGCCGAGCAGTAGGTAGACTCCATTCTTAAAACTTTGCTCTAGGCCTCTCTCTTTCTCTTCCAGTGACTGCCATGTGGCATGGGTCTCTGCACAGGCTCGTAATGAGACAATAGCAAGGCGGCTGTGGGATGTCAGTTGTGACCTGCTTGGCCTCCCAGTGGATTGATAGGCAGTGGCAGTTGGACCCAAAAGAAGACTAAAGCAGACTACACGGTATTTCCTGCCAAAATTATTCTCCTGCAAGTTGGCCAACACCTAAAACAAAGGAAAAGAAGACCTTCCAGTCGTGCCTGCATGGTGTCCGTTTGAAACCCAGTTACGCTGCCAGTTTTCGTTTGTCCAGATTTCCTTTGCTCTTGTTGCTGCCAGAGATGCCATCAAAGGATAAGATGATCCTCATCTGACCTACGTAGCCCTATTTTCCTTCGAAACCTACTACTGCCTAGGGGAATATAAGCTACGGCAGGGTTTATTTATGGGAATTTGGAATAGTTTCTGCCCTGTTTGTTCACAATATAGTTCTTGCCAACCAACAAATCTTCGCTTTAAGAGAGCTACACTATAACCTCAGCCAAACTCTTGTGAATCACAGTGGCGTGACCTAAGAGCAGCGCTTACTCCCCAACTCTTTAACTCTCAAGCACCAACACCTGGCTTTTTCAGGAAATTCTTAATTGAATCAATTATGGCACGGCCTTATTTTTGACAGCCTAAAGCTTAAGGTCTCTAGAGACATTTTCCCAGTCTAGACCAGAAAAGAGCTTCCTTTTCTAAGTAGTTGGTGAGGCTTGGATCAGGGAATGCAGAAATAAATATGAAGTTCAAACTGTAATTTTCCTGCTGTTTCTCAGGCCAGCAAATAGGTAATGTAAGGAGCACTACCAGAAGAAGGGCCACTTGACCCCAGTTACTGACCCCAGACCCATGGAGAGACCTCGTGGGATTTTTTTTTTGTTTTTTGAGATAGTCTTACTTTGTCTACCCTTGGTAGAGTGCTGTGGTGTCATAGCTCACAGCAACCTCAAACTCTTAGGCTCTAGCTCTCCTCTTGCCTCAGCCTCCCAAGTAGGTAGGTCTACAGGCACCTGCCACAACACCCGGCTATTTTTTAGAGAAGGGGTCTCACTGTTGCTTAGGCTGGTCTTGAACTTGTGAGCTCAGCAATCTACCCGCCTCAGCCTCCCAGAGTGCTGCGTTTACAGGTGTGAGCCACTGCACCCAGCCACAGCTTCATGTTTCTGTGCCTTAGTTTCCCTTAGAAAAACCAGAAGAGGAAAGGAAAGGCTTTGGGGTCATTGTTAATTGTGTGTATCTTTCTGTGTCTTCTTGTATGTTTATACACTTGGTAGTACTTTCACAAAATTAAAAACAACCACAAAGTAACAGTGGCTAGACCCTACTGTAGGCAAATAATCAGAGATGGAGTAAACCAGTGTCCTCTAGTCTTTGATACAAATGAGTGCAGCTGCAAAGGGAAGCAGATTCTGTCTAGGTGGGTCACTAACCACTATGAAGCCCACAGATAGCCGGGAAGAAGTAAAAAAAAAAAAAAAGAATCCTTAGAGATAATGCATGAAATAAAGGAACTAGTTAAGGATTTAAAAACCTCTACAAGGGGCAGCGTCTGTGACTCAAAGGAGTAGGGCGCCGGCCCCATATACCGGAGGTGATGGGTTCAAACCCAGCCCCGGCCAAAAAAAAAAACCTCTAGGAAGGATTGAGGGTGAACATCCAAGACTGATGAAACGCCACTGTCTTACACACCAGTCAATGTGGCAAAAAAAAAAAAAAAAATCCAAAGCACAAAAACCCCAAAATTATCTTAAGGACTAATACTGATAATTATAGTCAATTTCACAATCTTACGTTTCCTTACATTATCCTGACAAGATTAAAATATCTATTTGCCAAAATTCTATATTTTATTTGGAGAACTTTTATCAAAAGTAATGCTGCCAAAGGAAGTCTGAGGAGTTGGTAATGTTACCATCTGTTGTTTGGAATATTCTATTCTAATAGGGTTTGGGATTTCACTGGGCTGACAATTAAATTTTTAACTTTGGTGTGTAAAAGAATTATAGGACCACAGTCTTCTCATATTTGTAAATCTTTTGTTGAACTTGTTTTGACCATTAAACTATATATTTAGAAATGGTCATTTTATGTAAAAACTGGAAATCTTTTGATAATATTGCAGTAGAGTAAATGAATATTTTAATAATATTGAACTGTCAATGACAAAAATTTTGGATTATTTACTACGTTTTTATTTATCAGAATAAAAACTAAGAATTAAAAGTTTAATTATAGGGTGGCGCCTGTGGCTCAGTGGGTAGGGTACTGGTCCCATATACCGAGGGTGGTGGGTTCCAACCTGGCCCTGACCAAACTGCAATAAAAAAAAGTAGCCAGGCGTTCTGGTGGGTGCCTGTAGTCCCAGCTGCTCAGGAGGCTGAGGCAAGAGAATCTCCTAAGCCCAGGCGTTGGAGGTTGCTGTGAGCTGTGAGGCTGCGGCACTCTGCCGAGGGCAATAAAGTAAGACTGTGTCTCTAAAAAAAAAGAAAAAGTTTAATTATAGCCAAAAGAAGAAAACACTTTTCATCATTATGGTTATGCGATTATTTCTCATTCTGAAGGATAATTTGTTCCAGAGTCTAGCTATAATACTGTAACCAGGGCGCTGGAATCAGGAGCCAACCACTCCTGTGGGTTAAAGTTGTCCTTTATTATGAGGATTCAGAATCCCAAGAAGACAAGGAGATCACGCTCAAAGCTACCCTCCTTGAGCAAACTTCACAGAGTTTTTATAGCCTCCCCCAAAGTTGTTACTTTTAGCTATACACCATCCAGCCCTGTAGTTCTAACTGCCAAGTCTTTCTGTCACATTCCTAATCAGTACATGTTCCATCTATTGTTTTTTCTTTAGCCCAGAGTGGTGATAGCCTTAACGGAGTAGGAAGCAGGGAAGGACTGGCTGACATGACTGACTGATAACAAATGAGATCATGAACTTTTACAGCTAATGGGTGGGGGAGATTTGAGGCTGTTTCTCTTACAGTACAAACTCAGTTTACATACTATTAAATTAAGCGATTATTTGATAACTCATTCACTCATTTCCTACTTACCTTTTTTGACACTGTTCAAAGATCACCTTATCCACGTTTCTTGATCACCCCATGCTATATATTTTCTTTAAAACTGTGACAGGTCCCACAGCATTGTGTTTTCGGACTGATCACAGTACACTGCCACTAACTCCAGACTTCTTCATCTCTCTATGCTCAGGGCAAATTAAGAGCTTTTAAATGAAAGCCTGTTGAATCAGTGGTCAATGAACTCCATGTAATAAAAATGAGGCCCCAGAAGATACAAACCACAAAGCATTTTCTGAATATTCATATAATTTTTTAACATATATGTGGTTTAAATATTGTGCTCCCAAGCAAACACATGTGAGAACGAGCTCCTTGAGCAAAACCATGAAATTAGTGAAAGTAGGAATTTCTACCCATGGAATGCTGGAAAGCACTTTGTAATTGTTTACATGTTACACTTAGTGGCAGATGAGACCTTCTGAAGCCAGGTCCGCCTTCCACACCAGATTATCAATTACCCAAGGGCAGAGAGTAAATCTGTTCATTCACCATATATATGCTCAGACCTGGACCCAATGCCTTGACTCAACACTTGTGAACAAAGGCACCAGGCAGCCTAGTGCACTAGGGGGGCTGCCCGCTAGAGGGTGAGCGCTTATTTAAGGGTCATGCTGCCTAGGTACCATTTCTGACGGCGGGGAGAGCCCCTTAACCTCCCCAGTAAGTGTTTTACCGCTCAGGGCAGGCGGGACCCTAGCCTGGGTTATTTATCCTTCCAAGGCTGAAAGCTAAAGTTTAGTTAGGAAGTCAGAGTGGCAAAACAAAGTGGGTGACGATGAAGACGACGTCTAGGCGCAAGCAGGTAGTAAACGCTCCCGACCTCCGGCGGCAGCGGCTCTAGCTGCAACCCCGCCCCAGAAAATGCGAGACCCCCGCGAGTGGGCGTCCCCCTGCCCAACTACAACCCCCGGCATGCACCACGGCGCCGGGCCTCGCCGCGGGAGGGGCAGGCGGCCGAGCTGCCCGTCTCGTGCGGCCCTGGGGTCCTTTCTTTGCGAGCCTTTCCAACCCCGGAATCGCTATGGCCAGGTCTCCGGCACTGCTGCTCGCTTAGTCGCAGCATTGGTCCCCGAGGAGTCGCCTGAGCCGCACAGCCAGTCCGCCGTCCCGTCAGGCTTTCGCGCCGGTGCCCCCGAGGTGGTGGCGGAGGCGAGGGGCGTTCCGGCTCCGGAGGACCCCGCCGCGGCCCGGAAGCGCCTCATCCGGGGCGGCCGGGCGCGGCGGTCGCCGTGATGGCTGCGGGGCTAGGCGGCTGATCCCAGCGCGAGGAACGGGCCCAGCGCCCAGAATCTCGGCGGCCACTGCTCGAGCGCCGCCTGCGCCATGGCCACCTCCGCCGCCTCCTCGGAGCACTTCGAGAAGCTGCACGAGATCTTCCGCGGCCTCCAGGAAGACCTACGAGGGGTGCCCGAGAGGCTGCTGGGGACGGCAGGGACCGGTGAGGCGAGGGTGGCCCACGCCCTCGGGAATTCGGGAGAAAGAGGCCCCTGCCTTCCTCCACGGTCCGGGCCTCTGACCCTCGGGACGCGCCCCCTGGGGCTGGCCGGGCCGGGCGCCCGGGGTCTCTATGCTGCAGCTTGGGTGAATTGGGGGCGTGCGCAGGAGCGCTTGGCGGGGTGTCGTCTCCCGATGCTGCTTTGGCCATTGAAAGTTTTCTTTTTTCACTACGGCAAGAAGAGCGCAGAGGTTCTTAAATCTGTCGTCCTGTAATTCAGTAGAATGGATTTCGTTTGTAGCTCTTTGTATTTTACTCATTTAAACCGTTTGTTTTTCCCATAAGGGAGGCCCATAGTTTTCACACGACTGACAAAGGATCTGGAACATAAAAATGGTTGAGAACCCAAAAGAATCATAACTTATCAGTAATGGTAAATACCTACATGTAATAGTTATGGAGTTCATCTTTAAAACAGAATTGTGGCGTTCAGATGTCCCATTTTGAATTTTCTTACTAAGTTTATTTACTGCCTCTTAATTTCAAGATTCAGTTTTCTGCAAGCTCTGTCTGAAGGAGCTACAGTTTTCCAGCGTTAAATCTGTAGGAAGGACCTGCCATAGTTCCTGACCTCTGTGCAAGTATATTTTGGTAACAAGAAGACTTTGTTTTATTGTTTTGCGCTGGGCACGATGGCCCAGGCCTTTAATCCTAACACTCTGGGAGGCTGAGGCAGGAGAGAATCACTTAAGGTCAGGAGTTTGAAAACCAGCCTGAATAAGAGCAAGACCCACATACTCACAAAAAAATTACACAGATCACCTAGCTATAGTGGTGTGCACCTGTAGTCCCAACTTCTTGGGAGGCCGAGGCAGGAAGATTGTTTGAACCCAGGATTTAAGGTTGCAGTGAGCTATGATGATGCCTCTGCTCTCCAGCCCAGTGACAGAGCAAGGCACTTTCTTAAAGAAAAAAAAGAAAGAAAGATCTTGGATTTTTGCTGTATGAGTTACCCAAGGTCATGTGAATTTAATGAATGAAATGCACATGTCTTCTAATATATTGGTATTTAGTAAGAGGCTTCTGTGTGCTGGGAACTGTCCTAGGTGCTGGTTAATATTGCAAATTACAATGGAAAAAGACACACCCATTCTAGTGGGTGGGTGGTAATATGTAAATATTAAGAGGCAATGTTAAAAACACAATACAGGAAAATAAAGCAGGGTAAAGGAATAGGGGAGGTAACTTCCATTTTAAACAGGGTGGCTATGAAGGCCTTTCTGAGAAGATAGCAATTGAGCAGAGACTTGAATGAAGTGAAGAGGTAAATCATGAAGAAATCTAAGAGAAGTGAGGGAATAGCACTGCTAA